TATATATCTTAAATTAAATCTTATGTAATATACTTTAATATTAAAAAAAAAATTTCGGACTTTATTTTGTCTTCATGGTGAAAATAGCTACCGTTTCAAAAATATGCTATCTTTGTGTTAAAATTCTTGGTTTTGAATTTTATGTTATTATAAGAGGATTACATTGATTTTCATAAATATTATATCAATCTAATTGATATAGTATAAAAAGCAACTATGCCACGACCCCACCGTGCCGCCACGCCACTGTGCTGGGTTTTTATATTTATAGTTCGTATCATATGCTTTAATTTAACATATATTTGGAGCTCGGAGTATTTCCAGAACAATTTTAAAAGCTAAGTTGAAAAAAATGACTTTGGTAAAAAAGTTGCTATTTTGGATCCGCGCCTGTGGCCAGGTAAAGGGTCAGGTATTAAAAAAATTTATATAAAATAAAAAGAAAATACCTTTGGTTTCTATAAAAAAAATTATTTTGATTCGTTCATTTTTGAAAAAGCTGTGGGAATTTTAAGAAAAAAAATTTCAAAATTTACCGATTCTAAAAATTGTTATTTTTTTAGAGATATCCCCCATTTACGGGGAATGATGGAAATTTTTTCAATTTTTGAGGGTAATGTCTTCAAATAAATATGATTTGTGATTTTTTAACGACGAGGGGATGAGGGAAATTTTTTTTAGGGTCACTGTTTTCAACTAGATATGATTTGTTAATTATCGTTGAACGAAATCAGTTCAGTGATAGCTGAAAAAAAGTAGCGATAATCATAAATAAAAAAAAAAAACAGACCATGGTAAAATTAATATCTTCTCAACTTTGCATCAAAGCTAAAAATTCAAACAATCTTGTTCTTATAATTTTTTTTATTTTAAGAACCATTCTTCTATTATTTCATTATTAAGACAATCAAGGTTTGACATTTTTCTATTGATAATTTGTTGTATAGTTACAGTACTTGTTAATTGTTACAGATAATATCGATATTATTCATTAAACCAAAATATTGTATAATTAATTAATTAATTAACTTATATTGATGTATTCAACTCAAGTTTACTATCATTGTTCATTGTTGAAAGACGGAGTGTAAAAATTTTATTGATAACTACTATTAAAATAATTTATAAGGAAAATATTATTTGATTAAAAAATCTCTACAGTAATATTTAGATAAATAATTTTTGTTTTCATACCTTTAGGGATAAAATGCCTAAACTTTAATTAACTTTAATCAAAACCTCTATTTTTAGGCCATAGGATAAAAAAAGTTATAAGAACAAATTTTTTTTTATATTATATCATCAAAATAAAACTATGGTTTTTATTAAACAAAATTAATTTTAGCTTTTTATTCCTGAAGGAATTAAAAAACATTGTATTCAACTACATATTACTGCATGTAATTTTTTGAATTAAACAATATCTTCCTTTACGAAAATTAACAATTTTCAATAGTTTCCAAGAAAATGAGTGTCTTATCCTTATAACATAGAATGAATCATTCTATGTTTTCAAACTTAAATTTATGTATTAATTATTTTTTAGAATTCACATTTTATTAAATATATGACTTTGTACTTCATTCTATCAAATGGTAATATTCACATTATATTACAATAAAATTTATTATATTTATTTAATTACATAATTTAAGATTTAGCTGTCACTATTTACATAGAATAATCTTTTTACCTTAATTTTATAAAACAAAATTTACTTGTAAGAAAATGTTAACAATTATCTAGTATCAAAAAATCAATTTATATCATTTAAGTGGTACTAGTAAAGAGTAGAATTTTAAAGATTTGTGTTAACCTGTATATATCTGGTTTGATTGTAAAAATAAAGAATACCATTCTTTTTTTTTTAAAGAAAATGTATAGATCCAATACAGCCCATCCTGTCAAAAAAAGAGACGGTACAAAGAACTCTCAAATATTGAAAAATAAATGCTATACCAATATACTGGTGATTTTAATCCAATGAATTTAAACTTATAACTTCCGGTACTTGGTCCGTGTCAAGTAACACACGTGATTTAAAACTGAAAACCGTTAAAGAAGTAGCATCTAAACTCTACCTTAGATTCCATCCATTGTAGTTTCCTATCATCCACAATTCTCTAATCTCTAATCTCTAATCTATCCCCCAAAAAACTTCTGAATAGCCCAAGTTGTAGAGTAAAAAGGTGTTTGTGCAAATATTAAATTATATATATACATTTAAAAGTCAAATGATGGTAAATGAAAACCTGTAATAATATACCCGCACATAGGACGGGATTGGACTCAATTGTTTCTTAGTAACAATTACAGTTACACTCATTTAATAGTGGAATAGAAACAGAGTCCCAGCCACCTTGTATATGAGATAAGATGTTTTTCTTAAATTTAAAAAAATGATTAATGTTTGCAAATTTTTTATGAAAGTATTTTTAAATATATTAGTCGGTTTCCACTTTTAAATATTTTTAAACTTAATTTTTTTTAATTACTCGGTGGACTACTTATCCTAAAGAAAAACCATTCTTTAGGCACATTCTTA